TCCTAGAAGCAAAATGAATCTCCACAGTGTATATAGTGAAAAGGTTACATAAAAATGAACAGTACTTAACATGTCCCTTTTTTCCTTTTTCCTGTCCCACGAGTGGGACTCCAGACTGCTGTTTGCTGCTCTCTACATCTGCCTTCATTCCCCCTTCCAGAGTTTCCTGGATTTTTTTTTTTTATAAAGATGAAAAGAAGAATATACATTATTTGATCTCTACCAGGCCACTAAGGCATGGATGAGCTCACAGCAGAGAAGCTGCTATTTTTCTACATAAGCTGCAGTCAGCACGTCTAGTTATGACAGCTGATGCCTTGTTGTGCCATAGATATGGCATCATAGTTCTTCGTAGTGTGGGTTAATTCCTCAGTATTTACTTGTGGCTTTGCAGTATTCCATTATTTACAGTATTTGTATAGGCCCTTAAGCGATACCAGACACATTGGCTCAAAATGTTTGCAGTTGCACTGGCTGCAGTGGCATATGCTAAACGCGTATTCGAGCGAGTACTGTGCCCTGACACTGCAGCCTTGCCCAGCCACGTACCAGACCCCACTGTCACGATATGTCCTTGTTACAGCTGAGTGCTACTGGATGTACAAGAAGAAAGCAGCTTAGTCCAAGGCAAGAAAGACTGCTAGTGTCATCTTCAGCAGGGTCTTTCATCGTACACAGACAGAATGGTGTACCTCTTTTTCTAGGGCTTCCAGGCAAGGAAGTTTAAATATGAAATGGCAATGCCCTGCTCAGTTTCAAACCACAGCTCCATGGTGCAAGGAGGCTCTCTCATCCGAGGGCTGTTCACATCGTCTTTGTATTTCATGGTGGAACTCTGCCAGCTTCCCAACAAGAAAAACCTCTTTGCTTCTCATAGGAGGGTGGGAAGATTTTTCTCTGAGGAGCAGCCGTGGCTAAAGCAGACAAGTAAACAAATCCAAGGTGCTGGGTAGCCCTGGGGGGGGTCACTGGTGGTCAGTCCCTAACAGAGGCTGAGATACTAAGCAAAGGATTGTGCCTTGGCTTGCTTCTGTATTTGTTGTTGATTTTGTACTATGTGGGGAAATAATTAGTAACTAATTTTTGCGTTATTTGAAGACTGGTTTAGGGTAGGCTGGTAGGTGTTGTTCTGTGTCTTTGTGCTGTCAGTAAAGTTGACTGCTCTTGGTTTGAAACCTTTTTCTGGAACGTACAAGATTTCAGAGCAGCTGCTTGAACAAAATGGGAGCTTCATCTGGGAAGAGCTGTTCTATTAAATTAGCAGCTGTAAATGACACAACAGAGTGAATAGAAGTGAATTTATTTTGTGCTGGCTTTCTTCCCTTTTTGCCCACCCTCCATCTTTTCCAGTACCCCAGAAGCCCTTCAGTAGCAAAAGTACTCCTGGATCTTAACTTTCTTGAAGAAGATCAAATGAGTTCACATTTTACTCAGATCAACAATAATGAGGATTATGGCTACAACATCACAGTGCTGCCTCACCAGTTATGTCCTCCTGCATATCTCCCATTGCTTGAGTTCTGTACCATGATTTACAATATAGGCTCCCTTTATAGGGAAGAAGTGCTGCTGCTGGGTGCTCTCCTGAGCTAATGAAATATTAAAATGGATGTGATCAAATGCAATTTGAGTTGCCTGAAGCTTTGCCATGAGATACTTTTGTGGAACAGTACCTGTATTTATCATATTTAGATTTGCATGTACAGAGCTCCGAGTAATGTTTGGCTAATGTGTTTTGGTTTTGTTTTGTTTTTTTTTTTCAATTGGCATTTTTTTAATGTTGCTTATGGAGATAGTGGCAGTGAGGATTTTGTACCACCTATCTCTGTGATCTTAAAAATATTACATAAAGAATTAAATCGGATCAAAATAGGTGGATTTAAAATAGTGCAGAACAAAACAATGTATTTAAATTACTCGTAATACAAAAAAAGCTCACTGTCGCAATTTGGCAAGATAGGACAAAGAAGGGGGAAAAAAGGAGTCAAAGAAGTGTTTTCAAATGGTTCTTTCCCATCTCTGATCTGTAATAGCTCACTGGCAGGTTATCACACCTTCATAAGTGATCCATGCAACACCCTGTCTTGGTTGTGTTTTCAGTTGTAAGATTCTTGGCAAGGACAATGATATATGTTAAAAACAGATAAAGATTCATAGCTACCCAATTTTTGAGCAATAAAATATTCCAGTGCTAGGCTGAAAAAACACATTTTTGTGACAAATTTAAATTTATAAAGAAAAATGGGAAAATCATTTAGTTTTATTCCTCCAATGAGTACTTTTATAATTATGGTGTCTATCCCATCGTACCCTCCTTTCTAAAGAACTATAAAGTTTTTAAAAATCCTTTTTAAAAGCACTCTTTTCATACTGTTAAAAATGTCAATGCTGGAATATTCTGCCCTTTATATTTATGGGGTGTGTAAGTTGAAGGGATAGTTATTAAATGTCATCACAAGCCTCTTATTGGAAGAAAAGCTAATGGAATTGTAGCTTGGTACGAGTGCCTGAACCTGCCGCCTGTGGTATGCTGGCCGGGAGAATAAATGGCTTTCAGTCATGTAAACTAGTCACAGACATTCAGATCCTTTGAACTCTTATAAGAAATGCACGCTTACTTTAAATAGTAAGTGACTAAGCATATAAATGTCTTGATCAAGTCATCAGGAAAAAAATGAAAAGAGGATTTCTGTTTACGTTTTGTTGTTTCTGTCTGAAATCTCTATTTTACCCTCTGCGTCTTTGCTTTGTAATGTTCCCTGCTGAGAAGGACAGACTGGAAACACAGTAGGGATCTTTGCCTTTTAAGTTGCTCTTTGCTTTGCAGAGGGCTGCGTGCTGGAAGACCCGGTGTATTTGTCCAGTGTTTTGCTTGGTACGAGAGCAACATGACTATTTAAGAAAGGCAGGAAACTATTAGTTCGTAATTTTAGCTACATTTCAATTACACGTACTGAAAGAGCAGACAGAAGTTGAAATATATGTCTTAAGGTACACGCATACAAATCAGTTCAGCTTTTGTGCTCTTTGTCTTTGGTTGGGAATTTCTGAAACAATCTCAAAAAGGATAATTCTGAGTTAAATTTGCCACAACTATGAATTCATGAGTCACGTTCATCCAAAGCGTTTCTCCAAAATTCTTCCTGTCTTCTTTTCTAAATAGCATATATAACAGCTACTGTGGTAGAATCAGACTATAGCATGTCCTATAAGCAGGGCTAGATTTTCTTCTAATGCAAACTCGTGCCCCTTTGTCAAAGTCAAAGGATACATGCTTTGCATGCTAATTTTCTCTGCCAGGTAATTTAGCTTCCATCCACTGTTTTTTTTCAGCATGACAAACTCTAAATGTTAAGGCGATTTCTGTCCTTTAGGTGTGTTTTTCTTTCGAAAGTTAGGATATTGATAGAGAGTAACAGAGGGCCAGAATTTGCTCTCGTTTTATACTGGTATGATCCACTGTTGATTTACCTAATTCGTCACTTTGGTCTACTGTTATCTTAAGTATTACCACTGTTTTTTTCTCTCAGTTGCATAAAATTCATCAGATTAAAAAGAGTCCTGTCACTGTAGCTACACTGTGAGTCCAGTCCAAAGGCTACTAAAGTCAAAGGCACTCCTCATTGACTTCAGTGAGATTTGGATAAAGCTCATTGTTTTCCTGCTCTTTCCATCACTGCAGTACCAGACAACTGAAATTCCAAATATCAGTGTCTTTGGATACTTTGCATTTCTGTTCTGAGAAAATATCCAAGCAAATATGAATATAACCAAAGTAAATTCTCTCTCTCTGAATTCAGAATGACTATTTAACTAGCTTCAATATTTTGATACCTAACACTGACTTTCACCCGCTGTCCTTTTTTTTTGCATACAGGTGACAGCTTAAGAAGGTTAGACCGTCTGTTAGGGTTGGAAAAAAAAGAATAAAATAGTGTGGTTGAAAAAGCCTCCGCTTTATTAGAAAATTCTGGAGGACTTTTGTGTTCTGTTTTTCATGTTGACAGTGTTTGTAAGTTTGTTCATAACCTCAGTGCTGAGATGGAGTCTTAATCTCTTTCCCGTTCGAGCATTGTCTGATTCTTGTTTCCTTCTTCCTCGTCCCCTACAGCTCTCATAGTTTATCCATTCTTAAGCTGGCTGTCTAGGTTGCAGTTCTCTGCTTGTAAGAAACATTATAGGTGTGTTTCATGGGTGTTTCTGCTTTGGGAACTGCGGCAATAGTTGATAAAAGTATCTCTAAAGATCAGTTTTGGAACACAGCATGTTTTTTACTTCCATGGGTTCACAGTGGGCCAACCAAAGTATGAGATGAACTTATATGTATATTTCCAACTATCTACTGTTTAACTTTCCCTTGAAAGTTTTAGTAAATTCATTTCAGCCTAGTTGTCTCTCTCTGTGAAACTGGAAAAAACCAATTGTGCAGCTTATGCTGTCTGCCCTTCTCCTCTTTCTGCTTGTTTCTGCCAGCGTTGTCTGTCCAACAAGTGTTCACGCCTCATTCCTTCCTTGGAATCAGGGCTCACCAGTGGGTTACAGCATCTCTGGGTTTCTCAGATCAGGGAAGAGTAGCCTTTGCTCCATTAATTCCAAATCAACGATTTCAGACACCAGAAACACTTCAGTGGCCTTAAAGCAGAGCTGCTCCAGATTGTTTTTCCCTTGTTTAGACCTATTGCAGGCATCCAGCTGTTTCACACCATTATTGTACTTTTCTTTGGTGAAAAACAGATGCTTGCTATATATCTGTGGCCCTCTGTGTTAAAATATTGTGCTGCCAACCGCTGAGGTATTTGTAGTATATGCTTGAGTGCCACAAAATCATAGACAGTATCAACTGAAGAAAAAGAAATTGTGATTTCTTTTGGCTGGCACCAACATAACAGAATGGATAGTTTCGACATTGACAGGAATGTGTACCTCGTGTTACAGAGACAGAAAAAAGATCAGAATAGTCCATGCAAATCTAAACCTTAATTTGTTTCCTTCTGCTTTAGCTTGCGGCCGTGGGTTCTACAAATCCTCCTCACAAGATCTGCAGTGCTCCCGCTGCCCTACTCACAGCTTCTCTGACAAGGAAGGATCTTCAAGATGCGATTGTGAAGATAGCTATTATAGAGCACCTTCTGATCCACCATATGTCGCGTGCACAAGTGAGTCAGTCATGAATTTAATAGTAAAGGACGTTGCTTAACCAACCAGGTGCAGCCACTTGTAGCTAGTACTTTTGGTTGGCTTTTCCTATATTTGAAAAGTACATTTACAACAGTAAATGAAATTGAAAGGCAGAGGGGAAAAAAGTTGACGGTGAATATAGAATCAGCATAAATCTAATTTTCATGTTTGCTTGATATAACATTGGAAAAAGTCACATGTTGGGTAAGTATGTAACTCATTGTAATAGATAGAATACTGGCATAATTTTCCCATGGCTGTAAAAGCGTTGTAGACAATGTGCTTTATGTGATCTAATACCAAAATGAGTAACATGAAAAATGAAAACTAACCTGTGCGGATCTGAGCTTTGATTGAACTGTACTTGGATCTGCCTTAACCTTCTAACTGCAAATAGACTAGCCTACACAGATTGGTGGTTCAAATAGTAGAATCTCCTAAATCCAAAGCAGCACCGAATGTCTCTGTAAATCATATCAGAGCTGATAACAAAGGAGTAGATGCAGTTGGTGCAGTATGTTTAGAAGAGAAGAACAAATCCTATACTTGGGAAAACTATAAAAGACAACCTTTAAGGTACATTAACCAATCCTTTTAATTGTGCAGAAGACAAATGGCTAAAGTCAGTTGCAGTAAATATACAGACAATTGTTATTCTGATGCCTTAATGGAAAATAAACAAAGCTCTTGTCAAGTGAGTTCAAGGAAGCTTTTATGCAGCTTGTAGTAAAAAATAATGAAATGTTTATGTGAAGAAAAATGCTTCAACTATTTTCTGTCCCAGTAATTAAAATGCTAGCTACATGTCCACTGTGGTTCTGTGCAATTACCCTGGACTTTTATGTGTGTTACACAGGACCTCCATCTGCACCACAGAACCTCATTTTCAATATCAACCAGACTACCGTGAGTTTGGAGTGGAGTCCTCCTGCTGACAATGGGGGAAGAAATGATGTGACCTACCGCATTTTGTGCAAGAGGTGCAGCTGGGAGCAGGGCGAATGTGTTCCCTGTGGGAGTAACATTGGATATATGCCCCAGCAAACTGGATTAGTAGATAACTATGTCACTGTCATGGACCTGCTAGCTCACGCTAACTACACGTTTGAAGTTGAAGCTGTGAATGGGGTTTCTGACTTGAGTCGTTCCCAGAGGCTTTTTGCAGCTGTCAGTATTACCACCGGTCAAGCAGGTAAGTTTTCATCGCTTATGAATCTCAACACTGTGAGACTTGAGAGAAATTGGGAACATGCAAACTACAGATGCAGTAAATCAGGAGCATGTTTGGTGTGTTCTGGCTCATTAATCTTTTCACCTTGCCGACTAGTTAATTTGAGCTTATACTTTTTCATGATAACCTGTCCTGATTCTTGGCCACAGGATTGCTTTCAGAAAGCATTCGTGAAAGACTTAAAGAAGACATAACACTTTATTATTAAATAGATTTTCTCCAATTTTTTTTTTCTTATGTCATTGTAGATCGTTCCCTACTATTTAAAGAAAAAAAAGTAGATGTGACAGTCCTGTGCAGGCTTCCTTTCTGAATTTTTTAAACCCGTATGGGAGTCCTAGGTCACTGGAAGATTATTTGGATATCTGATGGTGTTTTCAGTGTTCACGTTTTCCCCCAGGAAAATGTTTCTAATTTATCTTATATTTCCAGATATTTGATTATGAGGTTCAGTGAGAATGTGATGATTATTCTTTGTTTCTTCTGTTTATCATAATCTGACAGGTGAAATGTCAGGAAAAATAAAATCAAACTAGCATATCACCCCAGGGGAAAAAAAGGCTTTATTTGTCTGCATGCTGAGTGAAAAAAGAGAATTTTCTGATTTAGGTTTCTGAAATGACGAGTTGCTTGTTGATAAAAATTATAGGCCTCTGAATCTACAATAGTGCACTGTGGGCTTTAAGAGAGGATAGTAAAACTAACCTTTTATACACTGAACAAAAGATGTTAAACTGAACACTAATTGCAAGATTTGGCTTCTGAAAAAATGCCTTAAAAGAAAATATGAAGTGAATAGCTGATGCTTGCTGTAAGAAAAACTAATCAGTGTTTTAAAGGATATTTCATACTTAACATCTTGGAGGAAATTTTAGTGGCTGTGATCAAGCTATTTTTTTTTTTTTAGTGCGGTAGAAATGGTCCCCTGCAGTAAAGCTTTGAACTGAGGACAAACTCACTGTACAGGGGCAATGAACAAATAGGAAACAATGTAGTTACTTTGCACTTTAAAGACGGTAATCTAAAAAAAAAAAAGATAAAAAATTAACCTCAAAATCTTCCCTCCCTCCCACCAAACCTAGGATGGTTTATATAGTTGTTAAAGTTAGGCTGGAATATTTATGGGATATTTAATTTCCCCACAGTGCTTTTCTGGATACCAAATGCACATTTTATATTATTTTGGAGCCATCCCTGTGACTGAAAGGATTGGTCTCTGTGCTCGTTCAGTTCTTGGAGTTTATGATGAGATTTTGAGCATAGAGAGCTTAGCCTGAAACTGCTTTTGCACCACATGTTGTATTATTTTGACACCTTGATTTTTCATCTTTAAAATAATTCTCTATAATTCTTCAAATGTGCACAGGTGGACAGTGTTCTGCTCTCTGTAGATGTCTGTACAGAACTATCATGTGAAGGAGAGGATTTGGACCCTTTCCTATTTAGATAAATCAAATTGGCTTTACTTTACATGCTTTGGTGGTTCAGTGGCACACAGGGTAAAGGAAGGGACAGCGCAATTTGGTGGCTAGTATCACATCTCAGGAAGATGAAAAAGCCTTTAGTTGGGAGTTTGTTGTGTTACCCCTAAGATAATTCATTATACTTAATTATTTTGTGTCCTCATAGTCACAGATTTATAGGGTTTTTCAGGCCAGAAGACATAATACGGTAATCCTGTGTTACTTACAAGTAAGTAATTTATAAGCTATACTTATAAGCTTATAAGCTATATGATTTTATGAAATGATTCTCACATCAAGCCCAGAGATGTTAGTGAAACTGTAGCTTGCATATACATTAGCGACAACATTTAGACTTTACTTAGTGATTTCAAGTAATGGAAAAACCTTCACCCTTCTAAAGAGCATGCAGCAGGATGCAGGAGTCCTGATTCTTTTACTTCCCCGCTCTCCAGTTTGCTGTGGGATTATGCATGGGCAAGCGTTTTCCAGTGCTGCAGAATCTGACACTGTCACTGTTGAGAGAAAGGGTACTCGTACAACTGAAGCTTTGTCTGTTTAGCACTTCTGAGTATTAGGTTTTAAAGGCTTCCAGTTAGGCATCTAAAAGGAATATACATAGGAAACAGAAAAAAAAAAAAAAGACTTTAAGCTCTCTGTTGCAGTTTTTTTTGTCCGTGAAATGAAGGTAACCCTTATCTTCCCTTACCAAGCTCTTCAAGATTTTCTGATTAAAAGTGACATATAAAAGCAGCATTTTTTTCACCCAAATTGCAAAATTCATGTTAAAGAAAATACAGTCTTTCAGAAGACATGGATTCACCAAAAGGAAAGACCTCTTTTGCATTATTTTTGCAACAGCATGTTTTGGATCCTAATGCTGATTTCTTTGGTTTCTCAAGGAGGAAAATATTTTAGGTGGAACAGATTGATGACTATAATTGAACAGAAAGAGACTGGTTGCTCAAAGGAGACTGTTATGCTTCTATGCTCCTATTTTATTTTACCATGGAGAGAAAGAAAATGTTGGATTTATTTATAGCCAAGTAAACTAGGATTCATGCAGCTCTCATTTGTTACTGTGTGACTGTTCTATACTTTTGGCAAAAATGACTTTTTCTATACCCATATTGCTTTTATGTGTGTAAATGTGTCTAACTAAACCTTCTTCACATGTTGTTATGCTAGCACAATAGGTGGCTATATATAATTACTGGATTCACCAGTTGCACAGAGGCTTGCAGTGAGATTTTCCCTTTGTAGCTTTGGTTTAATTGAATTGATCCTTTGTGGCCATATTCACAAAATTCAAATCATTGTGTAATGATAACAGGAAATTATTGATAAAAGAATGGGGTTATGGAATATATTCAGTGTTTCTTCATCCAAATATAACAAGCTTCAGAAGAGACAAAGAGAGCATGTCACAGAAAAGAACCAGGTGGTTGCTAAAAAACTATTTGTATTTGTGGAAATAATACAATAAAATGACTGCAAGTGGGTAGGTAGCATTTCACATTGCTCGTATATATGCATGTGACACATTGCTATTCATTCGTTGTGTTAAAAAGACTTTGTGACTAGGCTATCAGTTGTCATATGGCATACTTTTATGTTGCAGCCAAGAACCATGAGGCTTTTTGTTTTGCTTTGTTTTGTTTTTTGACAAAAGCATGAAAGAACTGAGCCGGAATCAGAGGTAAAAGATTAAGTGCACTAAGTCCCCCAGGAGTAAACCATCTTGTTTCATATCTTGCCTCTGCAGCATCATATAAAGAATACAGGATGTCATCCCAGTATTGCAAGCTGATCTATGTGAACCCCTGCATCCTTGCAGAATTCAGATTTAAATGTGACTAAGCCCCAGTTACAATAGGTGAATATACTGAAGAGCTGCAGCTGGCAAACAGCTGACAAACACTACCTTTGCAAGCTTATTGAATGGTTGTTTACCAAAGATAAAATTTACCACTTCCTGTTGCAGTTTAGCTCCAGCCGGTCACTCAGCACCACCCAGCCGCTCGCTCACTCCCTCCCCGCCAGTGGGATGGGGGAGAGAATCTGAAGGGTGAAAGTGATAAAACTCATGGGTTGAGATAAAGACAGTGTAACAGGGAAAGCAAACGCCGGGCACGCAAGCAAAGCAAACCAAGGAATTCATTCACCACTTCCCATGGGCAGGCAGGGGTTCAGCCATCCCCAGGAAAGCAGGGCTCCATCACGTGTAATGGTTACTTGGGAAGACAAATGCCATCACTCCAAACGTTCCCCCCTTCCTTCTTCTTCCCCCAGTTATTATACTGAACATGACATCATATGGTATGGAGTAGCCCTTTGGTCAGCTGGGGTCAGCTGTCCTGGTTGTGCCCCCTCCCAGCTTCTTGTGCACCCCCAGCCTCCTCACTGGTGGGGTGGGGTGAGAAGCAAAAAAGGTCTTGACTCTGTGTAAGCTCTGCTCAGCAATAATGAAAACATCCCTGTATTATCAACACTGTTTTCAGCACAAATCCAAAACAGCCCCATACTAACTACTAGGAAGAAAATCTATCCCAGCCAAAACCAGCACACTTCCCTAATAAGACATTCACCTTTCAGTGGTACTGGTAGTTCCTTTTGATCCACTCAGAAGAGGCTAATGGAATTGCTTAGGTTTCACAGCAGATAAATATTTGTCAGGTTTTGGCATTTACACACTTTCAAAAAAATACATATTTCAGTAACAATTTGTTGTGGTTTAACCCTGGCTGGCAACTAATCACCACACAGCTGCTTGCTCACTCCCCCCATGGTGGCATGAAGGAGGGAATCAGAAGGGTAAAAGTGAGAAAACTCGTGGGTTGAGAAAGACAGTTTAATAGGGAAAGCAAAAACCGTGCGCACAAGCAAAGCAAAGTAAGGAATTCATTCACTACTTCCCAACAGCAGGCAGGTCCAAACCTGGGCCATGGGCTGAAACCAGGACACAATTGTACAATTTTTCTGCTGATGTTTTTGCCAAGATAGTGTGGTTTTGAAATTACGTTTCTACATCCTTTCCTCTGGAATTTATCTGAATGGACAGTGGACTGGTCCCTGATAAAGGATTATATTCACCCAACATAGCCTGACTTTGAGAAAACTTAAGATAGGTTGGATGAATCCCAACGTTTATCAGGGACTGAGAAAATGTAAATATCTGTCCTGAGCCAGTTTGATTTGCTTTATAGTCATTGGAAAGAAAAAATCATATCCAAGGGGATACTCATTATGTCTTATTACCATAACCAAATATGACAAACAAAGGTTAAAATGTAATGCCAGTATCTGTTCCTAAACGTACTCTCTGTTCTTATGCAGGGAACACTTGCTAATGCTCGCTGCCTTTTCACAGCAAGAGAAAGGTGCCCCACAGAACCATTAGGTCATTCTGTGCCTTCAGATGCACTTAATGCTGACAACTTGAAGTGGTTAAAAAACCCTGATTCAGTTCTATAATCAAGGCTTACTCTTGAAAAACAT